GTAAAAGTTTTACTGCAATTTCACTTGATGTACTCTGCATGAATACGAAGAAACCAATAAATTATATAGTGAAAAGTGTTGAATTCTTGCAATGAGTGAATATATGTAATTTCTAAACCAAAAAGCCTGAAATTTTTTTATGATATAGGTAATATGAGGTAAGCCTTTTTTGTGCTTGGAATTTCTTGCATAATAACAGAACGAGAGCTTTGAATTCTCGAAGAAGGGTTAAGCATTTTTTTTTCATTTTGGAGAATTTAACAATGAACGAACAAGCTGAATAACATTATTTGATTGATTGATTGATTTATTTATTTATAACAATGCAAGTTTTGAGGTAGACAGCAATTTTTATGGTTATCTTTCACAAATTATTGCGTGGTTTCCTTTTCACATGAATTGAGAATTATATATTTATTCGTAAGCAATTTTAATTTGTGCATCCAGCATTAGAGGTAAGTGTACCTGTCTCTCCCATCTGTAGTAGGTTAGCAAATACTATTTATGTAGAGCAGATTTTTATTTTTTTCGGTTTTACATTTTTGTTTTAAAATTTAATTAGTTGAAATGCAAAAAGAGGCTGGGAAACATATTTGATTGTCTTCCGTCATTTGAGCTTTGTCTTTGTCAACAGAATCAAACACAAATTTAAGGTTTAGTTTCTTTTTTATATCCCCTTATAATTTTTATTTCTGTCGTGGGTTGATTCAGCTACACGAACATGAAGCCTTATTTCGGAGAATTGCTTATTATAGCGAGCATTATTTCTGACATGAGTGCCCTTTTTTTTTGTCATTTTAAGCAATTTTCTGGGAGTTTCTTAGTAGAAAATAAGGAAAGTTGTGGTGTGGATTCATGATTAATGTCATTCCTTCATGTTATTTCGTTTCTTGATTTTTGTGTCGATTAACTCCAGAGGCACACATAGAACGAAGTTGCTAGACAATTTTCATCCTTTATTTTGTTTTTCGAATTCATTACACAATGATTATAACTCGAAGAACTATAATCATAAATATGCTTTTTCTAATTATTTTTAACTATAAAATTTCACAATAATATTCACAACTCGCATAACTTTGTGAAATTTTTAGTGTTAGCCAATGCGGTAATGGAATTCCTTTTGATCATGAATAGGCTGCCCAGAAATGGTTTGAACTTGGAAGCTCGCTATTCTTGGTGGGAGAGACTAGTGAGAATGACTACAACCATCCACTTCTTGAAGGATTAGAAGATATTGAAACCAAAAGAAGCTTTATTACTTATGTGGTTCGTGCCATTGGTTCAGCTATGGAGGTAAGAGTACCAAATCCAAGCATTTAGCTTGCTTCTTACTGGAAGAGTCATCATAGTTTTTTTGCCTAATTTTTCCACACTACATCTATTTGTCTCCTAGAATTAATGATCCCCTTTCCTCATGAAAAGAGAGGTCTACGGGGTCTTTTTGGGAGGATTTCTCAAAAAGCAAGTTGCATTTTAGTGAGGAATCTGGGAAGACGAGTGCAAGGAATGACTTTGACAAGGCAGATGAGAAGTTGGATTCTAGCAAGAGGGTTCCGAAAAGCTGAAAATCCCTACTTACCTTTTGTTTTATCGTGAAGAATATTGGAATAATACTAATTCAATCCCTCAATTTTGTGGTTATAACTGCCTTTCTAGCATCATTGTTGCAGGGAAAATGGTGGCTTTAGCTTTGGAAAGTTCATCTTCTAGGCCACAGAAACAGAATGTTGATTTTCTTTTTTAGTGTTTGTGATGCAGGAATTTGTTGTTTAAGCATGAATTCGTAACTGAACATGGCTTTTTACCGCTCGAATCCTGCTAAGCATTTAATGGATGGAGCATTTCGCAGCTCGTCTGATTCGATCTCGATGAATGAACTAGACATTTGAAAGACCACAGGTTTTGTTGCCATGCAAAATTACAAAGACCAGTTGCGTATTTTGTCTAACTAATAACCAGAATGCACAAGAATATCCAGCTTGACCAGTTGCGTATTCAGACAATCCAGGTTTCAAATCCCTGAAATATATAAGTTAAACACTGCAACTTGATCAACTGGATGATATTGTTTCCATCCGTATCGCTGGTAAGGTCGATTGAATTGTCATCATCGGTAGATACAATTGAACCAAGACACATGAACAAAGTTATAAGGCTCGTGAAGCGGCTCTCTGGCAAGAGAGGGATCGAAATTATATGCATTCTACTATAAGTAAATACAGGCCTGCAGAGTATTGATCCTGAATTCCTGATTCCTCCATAAACAAATCCTAACCCGCGACCGGTGGGGAAAAGTTTTCCGTTTCAACAAGTGAACTATTCAAACTTCCCCAAGTTCGTCAGGCAATTGTTCTTCAGGTCACACGTTTTAAGTTTTACGAAAATTCTAAAATCCATCATTGATTCATTGGCTTCTGATTCCTGCATGTTTCATTATCCTGTGATACAGTATATATTACAGTAACGGAGGTATCTCAAGTACCTACAATAATGATAGTTTACAACAATAATGAGACTCATGTAATTAAGAGCAAAGGGCACATGAAACTAGTAACACAATAATCAACCCAATGAATGATAGATTTAAAACATGAGACAAAGATTAAAGTCAGAGGAACACGTAGTGCCTCCAAAATCATATTATGTAGGATCCAAAATTCAAAAGAAACTAATAGAAGAGGACTTGAGTTCAAACTAGTGCCTTTTTGTCACCTGATAATATCTTCATCATCAGCTCATATAATTCCTAAAACAGCCAACTTAGAGATCTCCCATCAGATGTGCAAACGCCTGATTCCTTTATCAGCTCAAAGCCCCCCCACCACTTAGTACATCATCCAGTGTTAGGTAAACACTACTACTATCTTGTAGAAACGAGGTGTGAACAAAGAATTTTTCGCAGCAAATCAGGCTTTGATTATATGCACGAACTAAATCATGAGGAATCTTATAAGGGATAGGAAGATTTTCAATCACGAAACACTCAAACTTATTGGTGTGGTGGTTATAGGAACAAACAGGCCAGCAGTGGTCTTGATTTCTCAAGCAAACATTCGTGAATAAAATCTCACCGGTGGGTAAGTTTCCGATATTGATAACGAAATATGCCACTTCCCCAAGTTGTTCAGGCAGCTGTACACAATGCTTTTTCCATTGCTTATTTTCTTCAAACACAAAGAGGGTAAAACACCTGAAAGGATCATCTTGCCCAACACTCCATATAGCCGGCCGCCCCATGGACAGAGTAAAAACAGGGCTTTGTCTTAATCTCCACTCATCTCCTCTGATGCCCTCCTGAAACTCAATCATTTGAAATATCTCATTGTCTAGATCGAAAGTGAATAGTTGTAATTTTAGGTATGTCGATAACCACCATAGGAAACCATCATTGCCCAAGATAGCACTTCCATCGAACGGCGGCGGATCCTTGACGGCACCAAGAATACCACCAAGGCCACATTCAATCAAGTCTAGCTTCCTCCATGATGATGTACTATTATAATTGGAGGGCCTCAGCGTCATTATATCGGCTCCTACCGGGTTAGATCGTTTAGCATTCCGAAGGAGGAGATGATAGTTCAATCTCAGTAATTTGTACATCTTGCTCATCGGATCATACCCAAGATGGAAACAGGATCCAGGAGTAGGGTGATCATGAGGAAGTGTCATCCTCTGCCCAGTACAAATATTGTAAATACTCAATTCAGATGCATCATCATAGTGACAAACTAGACCATTAACCGATTGGGTCAATCCGTCCGGGATAGTAATTGCACACCGCCAGGATACACCTTCAACATGTCTACTAAATTTTTGTTCCTTGTTCAACTGCCGGAGATTTGAGTCATAGTACCGGAGCCGGACACTGGTGGTAGAACTCGTGTCATTAGCCATGTTTTTTTCCGGCCAAAAAAAATTCAGGGTCATTTGACGACTCCGGTAAACCGCCCGAAAAAGGGGACTCCCGATAATTGATCGCCAAAGCTTGCACACGCACTTACATCGACCCAGTTGCTTACCTGGAAGCCACGCCAAAATTTCCACAACTAACTCATCCGGCAGTAGTAGCATTATCGCTCAGTTTCCGGCCACCGGAAGGGGCTGTATAGTAGAAACGAAATAATCGGAGAGAGAAGAAGCGGCACCGTGAAAAGTTTGTGGCTGTATGCTAAAGTATTAGGTTTTGGAAGTATATTTAAATGGGAATGCCTATGGTCCAGTCGACTGAATCATATAGTCAATAATAAGAGACGTTGGATTACTAAAAATTATTATAGCCGTAGGATTAAAAACGTGCACCATAAAGAAAAAAATAGTCCTCCACATAGTATAATTCTACAGTAATTGGCAACCTAAACAACAAGTTTTGTCAAATAATGGGAATTATCTTCTTAACTCTTTTTTTTTTAATAATATCATCCAGAGATAAAGATTGACGTAACTTTATTTGAGAAATTTTTTGAATAGTTTTAGATTGTTCTTTTTTATTCTATATTTACATAGATTATAATAATGTATTCAACCAAATTCAATCTTCCCGTATGACGCTAAAAAAGAGACCAAACTAAATTTTTGTGGCTGTATGCAAAAGTATTAGGTTTTGGAAGTATATTTAAATTATTATATATTAAAAAAACAAATACAATACCTTCAAACTTTGTACTCTCCTTAATTGACACGCGACATCCAACCAATCAAATAGTCTTTGATTTTCTCTTTTTCCTTCTTACTTACCTAAACTACAATTTTGATTATCCCCTCTGACGGCAGATTGAAGCCAACTAACAGTTTCAAGAACATTTTCAAAAAAAAAAAAACAGTTTCAAGTATACCACAAAAAAAATAATAATACTAAAATAAAAATAAATAAACAGTTTTAAGTATTAACTCAACCTCTATTATGCTGCTCGCGAAAAATTCATTCAATCCCTACATTTACTTTTTTAAAAAAAAAGAAATAGAAGAAAATAATTTTATAAGTCCTCAATGCTCAATCTTCAAAGTTTCTTAACACACAAATTGACACCGTATTGGGGCACAATAATATAACGCAAGATAGGGGAATGAACATAAGTAGGGGAAAGAGTAAATCGCGATACTATGAGAGCAATCAGAATCTTGAACTCCATCGTTGCCAAATGTTCACCAAGACAAACCCTTGGTCCGATTCCAAATGGCATATATGCCTGTGGATACTTGCAAGTCTTGACATCGCCATCTGCAAACTTTTGTGGATTGAATTCATAAGAACTATTTCCCTGAATTTCAGGATCAGTGTGTAAAGCCAACACAAATGTCCACACAACGACCCCTTTTGTTATGGCAATGTTACCAACTTTCATGTCTTCATACACTTCCCTTGACATGATTGTCATTGGCGAATATAATCATAACGACTCGTTAATCACCATGGTCAACTACACATCATACTTAAAAAAAAAGGTAAAAAAAATTAGATACCGATAATCAGACTCATTTTATTTTCTATATAGTCAGATGTTATGTAGTACTTTGTTCTGAAATTATTGTGCAATATAAATTTTTATTTTTAGTACAAATTGAAGTAAAACTAAAATTTCAAGACAATAATTTTGAGACTTGACGATACCTGGAATTGTACCGCCGGTGTAGGGTGCAACTCCGACTAGGGTTTCCTGCAAAACAGAGTCTCGGGCGTCTCCCGAGGGTAGACACTCCGAAGCTTAAGTCAGAAAATAGGGTTATGTCTGTATTGATATGTTAGTCAAGATTGCGTACCTTTAGTGTAGAATAAAGGTCCTTATTTATAGACTTGAGGGGAATCCGATTATTACTAGGGTTAGCAATAATAAACTGCCATATCCGGGGTGGTCTTGACCCTAAAGCCAAGTAGTGGGCCGGCCCGTCGAAGGTGATGGATCTGGACTCGTCAAGTACCCCCGTCAAGTGTTAATTATGTAAAGTAAATAAGACTTGACACTAAAATAAAACTGACCTGGCTCGGCCCATATGAAACAAATAAGCTTCAGCCCAATCCAAGTGTAACTGTCCGCGGGTGAGGATCCGATTCGAGAAGGTGACCCGTTTTTTTTTTTTTTTCTGAATCCCACCCGAACGGAAATTAAGCCTCATTAACGCGCACGTTCCCCGAACGACAGCTGGGCAATTATGAGTGTTCCTTGGATTTCGGCCCCGGTGTCTGGTGTGGGAGAAAAAGGCGCCTCCTATTTGTTTAACTGGGGAAAAGGCTAAGGACTTTGGCCATATATTTCTCTTGTCAAACTTGCACCTAGAAAGTTCCACACTCTCTATTCCGGTGCACCAGATTTCTTTGTCACCCAATACCGCCGTCAAACAGAGCCTGAAAATCCATCCGACAGACTTCACCTAGGAAGCGCTATCTCATATGTAAGTCTTCTAACTTCCGGGTATTCTCATAACTGTTCCTTGGTGTATATATTTTGCTTTATCTGAACCTGGTTAGACTTGCATATACTAGGATAGATATGGCGTCGCAAACAGTTTCCGATTTTGCATCGACCATATACTCTGTTGAAAAGGCTGATGACATTGCTGAAAAATATAGCTTTCCCATAGATCTAGAATATCGAGCTCCCATAGGTACTGAGAGGGCTAACACTCCACCAGAGGGGAAAATCACTGTGTACGAGAGGTCGATGTTTCTCGGACTACGGTTCCCCCTTCACCCTCTGTTTGGTAGGCTAGTGCAGTATTATAAGATCCCGCTTGCTTGATTTACTCCAAACCTAGTCACCGCCGTCCTTGGTTTTGTGAGGCTCTGTGAAATAAAGAGGGTAGCTCCTCGATTGTTGGTATGGAGATACTTTTTTAAGGTCTGTGTACCCTCGACCAAATATAAGGATTGGTATAACGTGAAGACAAACGTTTCCTCAAAGGCAAAACGCATAATAGAACTCTTCAAGGTGCCCCCTCGTGGAAGCCGAATTATTTGTTTGTTTCGGCTCCCGACGATGTTCGTATGGCTTGGGACTATCGGGAAGCTCATGAAATGGGCGGTGTGGTAGATGCCTGGTCCAAACACGATAAGGCCAGAATTGAGAGGTATAGGGTGGACATTGATTCCTTGGAATCCGTCGAGGACATCCTGGGCTACACGGAAGTGCAACGCTACGTTCCTCCGGTTCGCGTCGAGAAGAGAAAAGGTACTGACTTGTTATGTGCTTTGTGTTTGTTTTTAGGTCATTTCATCGAGCAAAGATACCGTTGGGTTGTTTGGTGACGCCAAGATTTTTGAAATTAAAAATTCAGATGATGAGGGATCGTCCAACAAGGTCACCAAGAAGAGGAAGCTGAGAAGGCTTGTGAAGGCGTCTGATGCAGGTGCCAAGGCTAAGAAGAAGAAGACTCCTACCCTCGAGGGGTTAGAGAAGCAGGTCGAGGAGCAAGTCTCGATCGAGGTGGCAAGGGGAGAAGATCCATCGAAGGTTACCTCTCCCATTATTGAAGAAGTGGGGGCTCCGATGCCTGAGGGTCCGGTACCCGAGACAGGTCCAGCGACAGAGCGGCATCCGGAGTGGTTCAGACCGCTTGAAGCCTCTCTCGAAAAGAAAAACGTCGAGGACACCGACGGTTTGTCGTCATACACTGGTGCCGCTGCCATATATCATTTTGGGGACAACAGGATCGAGTGCCCCATTACCGAGGATGTAGAGGCAACTTTGACAGAGGAGGAATCGCTAAAAATGGTAATATTTTCTTCTCGAGTTACGTCTTCTCGGAGACAGCACGATGCCTCTGTTAACGTTTTGTATTTGTTGCAGCTAACTACGGCCATGGCTAGCATTCTCATGTGCAAGAAGACGTTGAAACGGGACATTGTTAGCCTCCAGGCTGAGAGAGGGTTCCTTGAACAGGAGAGGCAGTCGAGTGAACCCTCGAGGAAGGGGGAGGAGGCTCTGAGACTGGCTAGGGAATAGGAGCTGGCCGGTGTTCAGGCCATGTATAAGGAGCTCAATGCCAAGTTGTCTGAGTACAGGGAAACTCATGTTCCCCGATCTGAGTTACCGGCCTGGATAACGAATTTTTGGGTGAGGATGATGTCCACGGATGGGCTAGCGAGTATTCTGGTGAGCATTAGTAATGAGGCCAAGGTTCTGGGGGGACATGGTGTGGCGGTTGCTGCTCTTGAAAGGATGGAGAGTGGGAAGACCATCAACGCTGGATGGCTTCAGCAATTTATAAGGCCGCATCCCAAAAAGACACTCCACGAACCCCTCAAGAAAGGAGTGCAGCAACTTTCCGACGGCCAACTTCCTCTATTTGGGCCACTGTGTGAAATCCTCGACGGAGATCTCATCCTTCGAGGGGGAGGTTCTCACGGTGCTTCCTGATGACTCCGGGGAAGAGGTTCGCGTACCGGAATTGGCTCCCGACTTTATTGGCGTCGAGGTGGAATGGGAAGAGGACTCTTCGGAGGGGCAAGCCGAGGACGATGGGCAAAGCAATCCCGAACCAGAGGGAACGTCAGTCCCTCCTCCTGTCGAGGAAACCAACGAGAACCAGCCGACACAGTCGCAGGGCCAGAAGGAAGTATGAGTCTCTTCTTTGTAATAGGATTTTTGTGGCTAAGGTTGTAGACCTTAGAAAATTTGTATGGATCTTTGAACCCTTTTGCCGATTAAGTTGGCTTACCTTTAATATTTTTGTCGCTTATTCCAGGATTCGTACTTTGTTCATCATTTACATCTACTGATTCTCGAGGAAGAGGAGGTTGCTCAATTTCCCTTGTATGCGATGATTTCCTTGATTCTGAGGAAATCCGGGGACATCCATAATACGAGCAAGGTGAAGTCTCTCTAGAAAGAACTTTCAGATGCTTTTAACGCGCTGAATTTACGGACACATCACCGCTTGGTACAGCGTTTCAAGCAGCAAGAGGAAGAGTGGAAGCGCCAACTTCACCAATACGACTTGGACTTCCATGCTTCTTTATCCCTCGAAGCGAACATTTACGAGGAGATGGAAAAACTGAAGTCGGAAAACGCTCAACTGAGGAGGCGCGAGAAGATCGTTATTTCTCCCTGGTTTCTCAAAAAGCTCGACACACTTGCCCTGGTCGAGTCGCAGATAAAGATCCGTACTGAACGTTTTATCGCCGCCATCGACCTCCTGAAGAAGAGAACCAAGGAGGTGGAGTTCTATTCGAAGCAAGCTACCATTTTGCAGAACATACTGGTGGACAACGAGATTTCCTTGCCCATTCTTGACGACCAAGTATGTAATGACTCTTATTGATAATTACCCGAGGACCCGGGTTAGCATTACACACAAATGACCGAAAGCAATTAAACCACTTAACAAACAAAGTCACAAGTAGCATGCAAGGAATCTAGACATAGAACCTGCGGAGATTCTGAATGTTCCACCATCGTGGGAGGACAGTTCCCGTGTCGTCAGTCGTCTGCAATCGGTAGCTGCCCGAAGGAGAGACTTGAATGACTCGATAGGGTCCTTCCCAATTGGCTGCTAGTTTCCCTGGGGCCTCTGCTCGAGTGGCGTCGTTCTTTCTGAGCACCAAGTCCCCGACTACGAAGTCGGTGCTCTTGACTCGCTTGTTGAAATGTCTTCTGAGGATCTCCTCGTACGCAGCTTCTCGGACTTTTACGGCATCCCGCCGTTCCTTGAGCAGGTCGAGGTTAGTCCGGATGTCTTCATTATTGGTGTCCTCGACGAAGTTAATTGTTCGAGGACTTGGTAGACCAATTTTAACCGGGAGAACGGCGTCCATTCCGTAGACTAAGCTGTATGGCGTTTCGTCTGTCGAGGAGTGAGCTGTGGTGCGGTAAGCCCATAAAACATGAGAAAGTTCTTCGACCCAAGCTCCTTTTGCATTATGCAGCCTTGTCTTGATTCTGTGTAAGATGGTCCTGTTAATTGATTCGGCTTGTCCATTTGCCTGCGGATAGGCGACAGTGGAGAATCGACGCTCGATTTGCATTTCCTCGCACCATGATTTGAAAGGATCGCTCTCAAATTGGGTTCCGTTGTCCGACACAATCACCTTGGGCACTCCGAACCGGCAAACCACATTCTGCCAGAAAAAATTCAACACTTTTCTTCCTGATATCGAGGCCAATGGTTTCGCTTCTACCCACTTGGTGAAGTAATCTACGGCTACTATGACCCATCGCAGTCTTCCCGCCCCTTTCGAAAAGGGGCCGATGATGTCAGTCCCCCATTGGTAAAATGGCCAAGGACTTTGTATGGTTACCATCTCGTGCTGTGGCTGTCGGGTTATTGGTGAAAACTTTTGGCATCGGTCACACTTTTGGACGAAGTGGTAAGCGTCCTTGAAAACTGTGGGCCAGAAGTATCCTGCTCGAAGGACCTTTTTTTGCAAAGCTCCTTGCCCCCATATGGGCTCCGCACGACCCCTCGTAGACTTCCTCGAGGATGTATGCTGCTTGATTTGTTCTGACGCACCGTAACATCGGTAACAAGTACCCGTGTTTGTAGAGAATCCCATCCTTCATAGTATATTTGACTGCTTTTAATTTCAACGCCCGAGCTTCCTGTTTGTCATCGGGGAGTGTTCCATCCTCGAGGAAGCGGATGAACGAAGTCATCCACGTTTACCCATCTTCGGTGATAGCCAGGGAAACTTTAGGGTGAATGCTGGGTTCAGGGAGCATCTCAACCCAAACTTTATGATTGAGATTAGCGAAATTGGATGAAGCGAGCTTACTCAATGCGTCGGCTCTCTTGTTGTTGGCTCTAAGAACGTGTGAGATGGAGCATTCTTCGAATTTGTCTTTGATTTCCAAGACCTTCTCGAGGTATGGTCGGAGGTGTTCCTCACGGACTGCGTATTTGCCTTTGATTTGTTTGATCACTACCTGAGAGTCGCTAAATACTTGCAATTTTTGAACCCCTAATTTGAGGACCATATTTTACCCTGTGATCATTGCCTCGTATTCAGCGACATTATTGGTGACTGGGAAACCGAACCTCAGAGCGTAGGAATATTCTGCATCGTATTCTTTGACTTCCTCGATCTCTCGAGGTGCCACCGGTTTTGCTAGGATGATACCTGCTCCTCCCCCGTCTTCGCAGGAAGAGCCGTCGACGTATAGGGCCAGGCTCGAGGATCTGTGGAGGGATGTTCATGTAGTTTCTTCCTCGGTATCGGTTCCTGCGTGGTTCCCGGAGCTCTGGGCATTTCTACTAGGAAATCTACGAATGCCTGCCCTTTTATAGCCGTACAGGGCTTGTACTCGATGTGATGTTCCCCCAACTCGACCGCCCATTTCATCATTCGGCCTGAAGCTTCTGGTTTGAGGAGGACTTGTTGGATGGACTACTCGGTTAAGACTTGTACAGGATGAGCCTGAAAGTACGGACGCAACCGGCGGGCAGCGAGCACAAGGCTTGGGATAAGCTTCTCCATGGGGGTATATCGAAATTCTGCCCCTTGTAGGACTTTGCTGACAAAGTAGACTGGGAGCTCCTTATTGTCTTTTTTCTGAATTAATACTGCGGATATGGCAGTTTCTCGAGCAGCTAAATAGATATATAAAACTTCCCCTGGCTGCGCCTTTGCTAACATAGGGAGCTGTTTGAGATGTTCTTTTAACTCTTGGAAGGCTTTTTGACATTCATCAGTCCATTGGAAATCCCTCCCTTTTCTTAGAGTTTTAAAAAAGGGGAGGCTACTCTCCGCTGCTGGAGATAGAAACCTGTTAAGTGCTGCTAGAGATCCTGTGAGTTTCTGTACGTCTTTGACAGTTTTCGGGGCTTCCATCGAAAGAATTGCTTTGACTTTTGAAGGATCTACGTTTATCCCATCCTTTGATACTTGAAATCCGAGGAACTTCCCAGAACCTACACAGAAAGTGCACTTTTTTGATTGAGTTTCATGTTAATTTTGCGCAGGATCATAAAGATCTCCTGCATGTCCTCGACCACTTTGCAATCCGAGTTGCTCTTGATAACCATGTCATCCACGTATATCTCGATGTTCCTCCCTATTTGATTATGGAAGGCCCTATTAACCAGACGCTGGTAGGTGGCCCCAGCGTTTTTCAGCCCAAACGGCATTTTGTCGTAGCAGTATACTCCAATCTCTGTGATATAAGCCGTTTTCTCGGCGTCTTCCTCGGGCATATGAATCTGATGGTATCCTTTATACGCATCGAGGAAGCTAAGAGTCCTGTAACCAATAATGCCTTCCATCATTTGCTCAAGGGCAAGGGGTAGTAGTCTTTTGGGCAGTATTTGTTTAAATCAGTGTAATCTTGGCACATACGCCCGGAATTGTCAGGTTTGCAGACAAGGACTGGGTTGGCCAGCCAAGTTGGCCAAAGCACCTCTTTCAGGATGTTGGCTCAAACCAGCTTGAGGGTTTCCTCGTTAATCACGTCATTGCGATCTCGAGCGAAAATCCTCTTCTTTTGCTTGACCAGTCTGACGTTTGGATCAACATTTAGCTTGTGCTCGATAATGTGTCGAGGAAATCCGGACATATCGGATGGCGACCACGCGAAGATGTCACGAAAGGTACGCAGCAAGGCAATTATTTCAGTCCGCAACGCTCCCCCGATGGATATCCCTAGTTTGATAGTTTTTTCTGGCTCTTTCTCATCTAAGATCAACTCTTCCGTCTTGCTGCTGAGTGTCGGGTTTTGCTCAATATCCATGCTCAAGACTTCTTGTTTCCTCTCTTTATCTTCAATCCTCGTCACACCTTGCTGAATTGAGTAGCATCCTGATGTGGTGACGGCTAGCTCCGGCTTTACTGCTTTCTTCCCTATCTTTACTGCCGTGAGGAGACATTCTTGAGAGCTGCGTTGGCAGCCTTGGACTATTCATATCCCGTATTCCGTTGGGAACTTCATAACTAGGTGATAAGGTGACCATACAGCGCAGGCTTGACACATCCACGGCCGTCCTAGAATCACATTGAATGGCGAGGGAGCATCGATTATGGCGAAATCCATTGTTAGATTTACCGTTCGGGGATACGTCCCTACCGTGATTGGAAGCATGACGATCCCGCTTGGGATTATCGTGTGCCCGGAGAAGCCCATCAATGGTAAGGTAGCAGGGCACCAGTCTGGATTTTGTATATTCATTCTCTTGAAACAATCACTGTAGATGATGTCGACCGCGCTGCCATTGTCGATGTACACGCGACTTACCCCCACATTACCTATGATGGCCTCGATAACCATGGCATCACTGTGGGGACACACGCCAGGGACGACGTCACTATCAGTGAAGACGATTGCTTCGATTCCTTTAAACCGCTTGTGACTTGGCTCTTGCGGTTGGGTTTTTGTTACTTGTCGAACAGAGGCCTTCATTGCCGTGGTCGAGAGGACTTCGAGAGGTGCTCCATAAATTGCTCCAACATTGTGGGTAATCTGCTTGGTGGGATCAAGAGGAGGTATTTGCTGTATTGGTTACGGTTTGTTATCGAGAGCTGGTTGGGCAGGATATTGTGAGTTATCCCTCGGTTGCCAATTATTTCCTCGGTTGTCTCTACGAGAACCTCGATTGTTGTTTTCCCTGGGGAAGTTGCGAGAAGCGCCGAGTTTTTCTCGAGAACTGCAGGTATCTCCTCGAGCGGTGCCTTGTGTGCTCTGCACATATTGTTTTAATTTACCAGACTTCACTCCTGCTTCGATTTCTTGCTTGAGCTCTCGACAATCCTCCGTGTCATGTCCGTGGTCCTTGTGGTACTCGCAATATTGATTCGTGGACCTATTCGGGTTATGAGTCAGTGGCTTCAGGGTTGGAAACTTGTCCTTATGGATCTGGAGTATTTCCCGTCGAGGATTTATCAATGGAGTCAGTAACCTGTCGAGCCTAGGCAGCGAGGGTTTGTTCTCAGTCTGAGATTTATATATGTCCTTTACTCCTCGCTCCCCTGCGAATGAGAAAGACTCCTGGGAATTTTTTAGCGTTTGTTCCCGTTGGATATAACTTTCTACCGTGGCCCACATCTCTTGGGTGTTCTGTGGAGGTTTAGTGGTTAACTTTACTCGTAGAGGGACGGACTTCCCCCAGGGGTTGAGTCCTTGGATGAAGCTATTCCTTACGTCTCTGTCATCGAAATTGTCAATTTGGAGAGATTCACGGGTGAAGCAACGATGGAAATCTGAAAGGCTCTCGTTGTGTCCTTGTCTTATGGAGGATAGGTCAATGGACATTTTTGTGACTTGCTTGCTGAGGAAAAACCTGGTGGCTAGCTTTACTGTGAGATCCTCAAAGCTGTCAATGCTTCCCTCTGGCAACTGTCCAAACCAACATTGTGCCTGTCCATCGAGGAATGATGGTAAAGCCTTTGCCATGAAGTCTAGAGATGCGTTACGAATTCTTATGACTTGCACGTATTTATTGAGATATCGTTATGGATCAGAATCCCCTGTGTAACATGTGAAGTCTTTGGGGAAGTCAAAATCTTTAGGTTTCGGACAGTCTCGAATCCTGGAGATAAAAGGACTTCTGTCAACGATCATTCCTATCATCCTCCGCATCGAGTCTCGAATCGAGGGATCCTGATTGCCCCGATTATCCTGATCCCGAGGAGGAGGGTCTTCTCCTCGACGATGGCCATGCCGCGATTTTTCCCGCGTCCCTTTTGGTCCCAATCGAGAGTGGACATTGTTTTTCAAGGGTTCCCACTCTCTTTTAGACAATTCCTCGACGCTAGGTGATTGCTGTCGATCTTGTCTACGAAATTGTCTCTTCTGTTCGTGCTCCAGTGCAAACTGTTGAATCGCCTGATAAACTACTGGGTTTGTCCTCTCGAGTGCTTCCCAGAAAGTATCACCGGGGACTTCAGAAGGTTCGGCGCGAGAAACTTCTCGATAGGGGGTTTCTTTGCGAGTTCTTTCCTCCCCTTTGTTTGGGGTCGGACGTTTGCCTCTTCTGATCTCGAGGAGATCCAGGGTTCTCCTTGCTTCTTTTTTCTCAATTAACTCCTCCATCTCTTGTTCTGTTGGGTCTGGAAGACCTAACAAACAGCAGCGTTTATATTCTTCGAGGATATATTTCTTTTTCCTTTGATTGAGGGAGTTATCATCCTTCAACTTCTTTAGTTCCGCTTCGATCTCGGCCAACCGTTGTTTCTGGTGTAGATCGGGGTTTTCACGGTGACGATTTTGATCGGTTGGTTTGACAGGGGTGGTCTCTTTCTTGGTTCATCGATCGTTCCTTTTCCGTTTCTGCCTCCATCGGAAGTGTGCCAGAGTTTCGCCGTCTTCAGGGCTTGTCTGTCTTCCGGTTGACGCAGCAATGGATTGGGGACTGTCAACTACCACCATCTTTCTTTCCACGGATTCTGTTCTGGAAGTGCTGGAAGCGGATTGAAAGGTTTCAAAAAGCTTGAGAAAGCTTAGTGACACAAACCCTATTTTTCGGGTCCCACCGGGCGTGCCACTTGACGATACCTGGAATTGTACCGCCAGTGTAAGGTGCAACTCCGACTAGGGTTTCCTACAAAACAAAGCCTCGGGCGTCTCCTGAGGGTAGACACTCCGAAGCTTAAGTCAGAAAATAGGGTTATGTCTGTATTGATATGCTAGTCAAGATTGCGTACCTTTAGTGTGGAACAAAGGTCCTATTTATAGACTTGGGAGGAATCTAATTATTACTAGGGTTAGCAATAATAAACTGCCATATCCGGGATGGTCTTGACCCTAAAGCCAAGTAGTGGGCCGGCCCGTCAAAGGTGATGGATCTGGACTCGTCAAGACAGAAGAAGTATTATAGTAAAGTTGGGAAAAAATTAACATAATTAACAGTATAATATAGTAGGTGGTGTTACCGATTTCATTTGCAGACGGATTCGGCATCGGGAACTTGGCCACGACAAGCATCGACAACCTTGGACCGAATCTGTTCCTGCCACTCCAGGTAGGCACCCAAGAGCATTAGCCACCAAGTGGCTAAAAATAATTCTGCAGTTGTCGACGATGAATCGATCACGTGCGTCGTGGCTGCTAATGAATTCCTCCTTTTTGGCAGTGTCCAACACGGTTTGGAGTAGATCTTTCTCGTACCCAGCATCGGTTCTTAACCACATTCAGAATTAGTTGTTTTATCTCCTTGGCTAGCGCCCAGGATTTCCTATTGCTTTTTGTTGAAAGATGCCTGAAGTATAATTAATTTACATGTTGCATAGATTAATATTAATTTGATTAATTGATTAATTTGATCCAAGGCAAAAAATAAAAAATAAACAAAATCAGTAATTCAACACACCTCATCTCGGGAATACCCATGGCCAGATTCTTTTTAGAAGTGACTTCCACTGGTGAATAAGGGTCAACTTTTATGTCTGTAATCCCACCTTTCTCCTCAATCATTTTGTTCCACAGATTTCCTTTTTATCTCCTTTACCAATAGTTTTGATTCCATGTGCCCGTATTATACACCAAACACTAAAGATAGGTTTAATCACGGTGAAATTAACTGACTCCTTGCACGTACTTGTAATCGAACGTGTTTAGAAGGTTGCTTGGAGTTAGTTATCCACCGATGTCGCGGGGAGTCTCCCCATCTTTTCCATTGTACCGATTTTGTTTTTATTCAATGAAACTGAAATGTCCAAAAAAGGAAAGCATTTGAAGTTTTAAAACCTGTCATTCTGCTGTAACAAAGAAATTAGATGTACAGAAACTATCTCTCAATAGAATTTGATCAAATTCATCCAGAATCCCCAAAGTTAGATGTACAATCCCCAAACTTAGATGAATTACTGACTAATAAGATGCAGATAACTCGAAGAGGAAAATGAGTGTATCGGAAAACACTGGCTCTCCCCACCAATCACATTATACTATGAATTAAAGGATTACATGAAAAATTGTCTGACGAAGCAGGAATGGATTGGAAGAACAAAAATCCAATTAATGCAATACTGTAATCAGTGCCATCTAACAAAATTCAATTATAAGCTGTAACCCCAACAACTAAAATCTAACTACAGATAACTCGAAGCGGACGGATTCGACATCGGGAACTTGGCCACGACAAGCGTCCACAACCTCGGACCGGACCCAGCTTCCACTCAGTGCCACTTCCAGTCTTCCAATCATATTCTGGGTTGCTCCTGTAAGCCTTTCTTTCCCAGGAACACAGCTTTGAAGATCACCCATTCAGCAAAAAAGCATCGGAGCAACCCTTCTTCATTTCTCAATTTATTGAAATAGTAAGTGTCAGCAGATGACCACAGTATGGGCAAACCAGACGAGTGTTTTCTCTCTGTGGTGTCCAACCCATTACCCTTTCTCTCTGTGGTAGATAATATCCATTATAAGATGTGGAAGGACCTGTGAATATCAAAATCGAAACGATGCTTCTTTAATTCTAACATGGAGTAATTTACATTCATTTGAATTTCAAGAATTGTAATAAAAAAGAAAACGTAAAACAAAAGAGGAAGAACAAGGTCCAGCTTCAGCACCATGTTGAGAACTTGGGCGGCGGGAGTATCGTGATCCATGTTGAGAACTTGGGCGGCGGGAGTATCGTGATCCTGAGATTTATCAAAATTGAATCTTTTTAGGATGACAACAAAACCAGTGAAACAAAAGTTCCAACATTTTCATTCTAATTTTTTTTGGGTAATTCATTACCTAGCAGCAACATGGCTAGCTATTTGATTTCTAGATTATGGATCATCCAATTACTATCAGGCTTAGATTAAGATCTGGAAGTACCTGGGACATATGTTGGCGGATGATAGGGCCAGATCCTCAAGTATTGCCCGCAGAATCCGCATGTAGGGAGGTTAAGGACTTCCTTATCTTTTTTCGCCTTTTCCAAACATTTCGACAGACACCCCAAGCACAAATACGCATAACACTCGCATAACCCGTTCATCATGTTCTGACGGGGTTTCCAAGCAAAACAAACAGAGCATTGCCGCTTATCATCAAAAGATGTGGAAGTACCTGTGATATATCAAAATCTTTACTTGTGATATATGTTACATCCATTTGAATTTCAGGGAATTATAATTAAAAAAATAGAGTACCTCTCATAGCAGAAGAGGAAGAAGAAGGTCCAGCTTCAGCTGTGGTGGTAATGCCAAATTCAGCATGGAGCTCTGCACGCAACAAATGAGCAGCGTTCAGGCCATCATCAGGATCAGGGTGATGATGAACTACTCCTCCTCCTTGATCACCATGATCATCATCAGGTGTAGCATCATGTTGACAACTTGGGCGGGTGTTTTGTGATTCTGTGATTTATCAAAAAGTGAATCTTTTTACCATAACAACAAAAACCAGTAAAACAAATGTTCCAACATTTTCATTGAAATTTTTGGGGTGTTCATTACCTAGCATTGATAAACGCATTGCTTCTTGCAATCCGAAATCTTCCTCGCCCTGGTTTACATAATCTAGAAATCAAAAAATTAGTGACAAAGAATTTCACGTATGAAATAGCATTAAGCAGAGATTAAAAGCAAAAGGGCTTCAAAAAGACATTGTTCATTCATGAATAAATCGGTTACCGTCAGCATAAATCGGAGCAGGGGCCTTGTTCTTCATCTTCATCTTCTTCATCATTCGTGGTGATGGGTTGCTCTTAGTTCCAATTGGGATTCCGGCATCAAATCCGGCAAGATTCTCCGGAGGAACACCCATCATGTCTAAAATTTCTTCCTTATAATCCATGAAGGTCTCATCATCGCTCAAGTCATCATCAGGTGTAGCATCATCAGGATCAGATTGATAAACCCCTTTTCCTTTTCTTTGACGCATCTCCTCGGCATTGCGATCACCATCACCAGATTGATGAACAGGAGGATTACTGCTCGATGAAGCTTGCATTAATCGCGACTCATCAATGTCCGGCCATCGGCCTAGCATTTCTTCTATGGAGTTCCGGGCTCCGGCAAGAAACTGTCGGGCACGATCGTATACTGGTTCTATATCTGAATCTGTGATGGTAAAAAAAGTGAATCTCTGATGGTTCTAAACCAACTACACAGCCCGTAAACAAATGTTCTACATTAAAAAAAGAATGTAGTACCTTCCATAACAGAAGAGGAAGAAGAAGGTGCAGCTTCAGCTGTGGTGCTGATGTCAGATTCAGCATGGAGATCTGCAGGCAACAAATGAGCAGCGTTCAGGCCATCATCAGGATCAGGGTGATGATGAACTACTCCTCCTTGATCACCACGATCATCTGCCAGGGATCTCCGGCCTTCAGCGATAATTTGCCGGGAACGATTGCGTTCTGTATCTGTAACGTTCAAAAAGTGAATCTCTTGTGGTTCTAAATCAACACAACCCGTAAACAAAATGTTCCACATTTAATTGAAAAATCCAAATTCATACACACCTAGAATTGATCGGCGGGAAGCTTCTGCCATTTGACGTTCATATTCAACAGGGTCGTGGCATAGATCATCTAGAAATCAATGTTTAATAAAATCAATGACAATAAATTGACAAACGAATACGAGTTTCTTTTTTTTGGCTTTTTGCTGCTGGATATGGACTAATAACACTGAGGCAATTCACACACGAATAAAAGGGAAAGGTAGAAAAAAAAACTCGCAGTACCTTTGAAAGCAGCAGCAGAAGAAGACGAAGAAGAAGAAGAAACATATTCAGCTTTGTCACCGCGACCACCTCTGGTGTATAGATAATAATCTAACAATACAAAAAACAGAGTTCAAAAACAAACCATCAGTGACAAAATTGACAGGTGAACTTCCATCGTTACACTAAGAACAAAGAAATTTTTGCATTAACTAATTGAGAAAGAAAAAAGCTTTATTAATGGATTACCTTGAACATGGATCGAAGGCACCGGGTAGGTTCTAACTCCTAACGGGTTGCCAGTGTCAAAATCATCAAAAGGCACTGATGCCATATCATCATCAATATCATCTTGATCAACATCCCCTGTTTTTGCAGAAGAAATATGGATTGAGGGGGAAATAAAATTCACAGAAATTAACAAAAAAAGTGATTCAAGAACAGGTATTGATTGGTGTTGATTAATTACCATCGTCATTAGGCGCCGTTCTGATCACCATTCCAGATTGATCAACATGATGCTCTGGAGCAATCCCAAATTTGTCAGCAGTTTCTAATCTACGCCTATCATCCTTCGACTCGTGTTGACCGGAACGATTAACTCCTTCTTCTTCTTCTCTCATTGGCCTCTTCCCTAGATTCCGATCAGCAAGATCATCCTGACGATCAAGATCCTCTGTTTCTTTGGGCCCATCACCAGAATTTCCCTGAGAAGCATCTTCAGAGGATTTAGCAGAATCTTCATCTCTGACTGGATGGGCTTCTTGCTCTGCTTCTGGGTTTGCCGGAGATAATGATCCTTCAACTGCTCCGACTGGTTCTTGATTTCCTTCCGACGGTTCAACTTCATCTACTGGTTTTTCTGGATTTTCCTCCTGCCCATCTTCTTTTCCTTCCATTTCCTGCTCATCACCATCGGCAACATTTTCTTGAACCCCTTCTCCTGGGACATTCAATTCATCAATGCCGGAATCATTTTCTTGAACCCCTTCTTCTGGGGCATTCAGTTCATCATGGCTGGAATCATTTTCTTGAACCCCTTCTTCTGGGACATTCATTTCATCATCGCCGGAATCATTTTCTTGAACCCCTCCTTCTGGGGCATTCAGATCAACCACTTCTTCTTGTGGGATATTGATCAATTTATTGCGAACGTCAGCATTGGGATCAACCCCTTCTTCTTCTTGGTTATTCGGTGCATCTTCAGGCTGAACTTCATCATCAACTTCATCTGGTTCAGGTTCATGAACCCCTTCTTCTCCTGGGACATTGAATTCAAATTGAGGCTGAACTTCATCATCAACTTCATCTGGTTCAGGTTCATGAACCCCTTCTTCTCCTGGTTCGTTCAATTCACCTTCAGGCTGATGAACTTCAGATTCTTGACGCAATCTTCTCGCTCTTCTTCTTCTGTACTTCTTCTCCATCCTCTTCCTTCTGTTCTTCTTGGCCATCTTGCCTGTAATTCGTTTCCCCATTTTCTCAAAACAACAGAAAAACACGATGGATTCCTTGGAGCAGTTTTCTACTTCCAAACCCTAATTTAAATCTCTAACTCTCAAAGAAGATGAATTACAGAGAGGGAGGAAGGTGTGCGAGAGAAAACAGAGTGAAGAAGAGTATTCTGAAGAAGTGAAGAGAAAATATATAGAGAAGTATAGAACCAATTCAGTCAACCGTTCTTTCTCTCTCATTGACTGACCCCACAAAACTGCTTAGCTGTAAACGGTTAGAGTTTCTCTTAAATTACATAAAAGTCCCTTTTCTTTATTTCAATTAAAAACACCACTCGTGAATTAGTAATGCCTGACATTTTCCGACGACGGTTTTGACTTTTGGGCTGGAGTCGTTTTGTTCCTTTTTGTTACATTTTATTATTTTCCCCTGATAAAAACATATTTTAACTATATAAAATATTTTGATTTAGTATATTATTTTTGTAAGTGAATTTTTGTTTAAATCATTGGACTCGTTGAAATGGATACCAGCTTACATGTTCGCGACTCTTAGTGGATGTTAATAAATACTCCATTCGTCCCAAAAAAATAATTCACGTTGAGTTTTAAAATTTGTAATAATTAATACAACACAAATTTCAAAATTCGATGTAGATTCTTTTTTTTGAGACTGAAAAAGCTATAATCATACTTTTTCTTTTCCAAAATAATTGTTCAGTTAGAAATTTTACGTTTTTGTATAAATCGTATTAAAAATAAAAATTCAAACAAAATAATCATTTTGGACCTAGAAATTAAGTAATATTTATTTTCGGTAAAAACACGGGTTATCTTGAGTTTGCAACATAAATTTGTTTTGTAATAAAAAGACCATGTATGTTCGATTGTTTGTACCTTCTCGCGGATGTCAATATATGCATTAATTGTATAATATAATTATACTTGTTTCATTTAGACCATAAACTATATCATGTTTGCCTATGAAGTGGTTATTATTAATTTCTTTTGAGCTTAAATATAAAAAGAATATTTTACTTGAATTTTTCTCATAATTTTACCCGTGAAATTTTAAGTTTTTTTTTTTTTTTTGGAAAAAAGTTTAGCATTAGAATGATTCAATTTGAATGTAAAAAAATATATTTTGTTTGAACTTTTTTCGTAATTTTACCCGTGAAGTGTCAACAATTTTTTTAGCCATAGGCACGGGTTTTTTTTTTTTAAATAAAATGTTGAATTAGAATACAATAGATAATTAATATTTCTCTATATGACAATAGAATTATCTAATTTTATATACATTTATAATATGAATATGTTTTCATGTATACGGTGTTAAAATTCTTTTTAAGCAATACGAAATAGTTTGACTTAAGGTGTTTTGGAGGGAAAATTATTAACCATAACATGACACCTCAACAATTTTATTCTCTTGGACTTCTCTTTTAATAGGATATATATATATATATAGATATATATAATGATTTGGTCGATGTCATAGTGAATAATGTTCCAAAGGTACATATCCTTAGTCATAGTAATTTTTGAGACGGAAGATTAGGGCTAAGATATGAGTGTGGTATTCTTAAATTTGGAAGTATTATATAGAATATGTTGAGTTACGCAGGAAGAATTATAATATAGGGTAGTCTTTTTTTTTCTTTTTTTTTTTACAATAGGGTAGTCCGTTTTAATTGTTGATTATGAAATTTTAATGTAGCATCTTTTTTTTTTTTTTTGGTTATGGAGTATCAATCAAGATCAATGCGCATTAATACCATGATTCCTAGTATTTAATATATTTTATTTGGTTTATGATGTCATTCAATAGCACAATTCAAAATGATAGGCAGGAATGATTTTGTATTTCATCTTTCAAAATGGAATGATATCAATTAGGCACATTAATTGCATGATAATTTGATTATGATCAATGAAGCTTTCTTTCTTCTTCATTTTTTTTCTTCATTTTTTCTAAAACGACGTAGTTTTTGGTGGGCGGAAAAAAAATGCACGAGAGTACGACACGTTATCCTTTTTTTTTTAGTTTGGACTATTGTTTTAATAGGATATATAGATTACATAAATACTTTTTCTTAAGAACGGGATACTACTTACAATCAGAGTAGTGATACATGCAACAAAAATTATATGGAATGATGTGGCAATATTTCAATTATGTCATAACTTTAAATGGAAAGTTTTAAAAAGTGAATGGATGTGATCAATTTTTGTCATTTTTTCTTGTAAGTTTTCCTTTGTATGTATTATTATTTGCCCATCTAGAACTTACTTAAAAGGCATGCAAGGCTGCAATAAACTGAACCCTACCTTGAATCACACACTACTTTCCCCGACGAAAGTAACTAAAATAATGATTACATGTTTGATTTACAAAGTGTGTGTTAGGATTCTGAATAGACTTCGCTCAAGTGTGGATTGTGGAATGCAGACAACCTTGTTTGGTTATGCCTAAATTTGCCTGATTGTTGCATGCCCACATAGCTATTTCAAGTTGTCATATCTTACGACCTCTTAAGGAAGAAGTACAGTAGAATGAAGATCTTGGGACTCAATTAATCAAATAACCATCTCATTAGGGCAATCGGAGTCGGAAAATTGCATTTTTGGCCGATAGTTTCTTTAGGTTATAAAGTAGTCACTAGCTTTGATCGAAACCTAATAAAATTAAGTACTCAATGTCTCAATTTGCAATTTTGATAAATCCCCTCAAGTATACATGCAAAAAAAAAAAAAAAAACCCTAATGTTTCAAGTATTAACTCAACTCAACCTCTGGTACTGTGCTCATGAAAAAAATCATTCAATCTCTAACAAAGTAAATTGTAAAATTAAGAAATTAATCCTGGATTAATTGGCTATGGAGATCATATAACCAATACATCCACGATCCACGTTCTAATCCTTATCCTTATCCTTATTTATCCTTATTCTTATCCTTATCCTTATTCTTATACTTAACTAAAAGGCACAGTAAGCAAGAAATAATACCCAAGAAATATTCAAGGACTACCGTCGAATCGATCTCGTTCGTCGGATGGGGTTGATATGATGTCAGCGACTTATTTTGGGTAAAACAGGGATTTAATAAATCACTTTCAATAAAAGGCACAGTAGACAAGAAATAATGGCTAAAAAATATTCAAGGACCACCGTCAAATCGATCTCGTCCGTCGGATGGAGTTGATGTGATGTCAGCGACTTATTAGGGGCAAAAATGAAATTTCAAAAATTCAGTTTATTCCAATTAAAAAAAAACCCGTAACCTTTTGAAAAAAAATAACCCCTAACCTATAAAAAGGAAGTCGTTTCAGGATTTAACTTTGGAATGCCCACTCCTGAAAATAATATATTTACAAAGACTTGAAAGTTTTTGATTAAAAAACAGCAACAAAACGACTTTGTTTTGTGGGTTTCTCCAGGGAAAAAAAAATATAAAAAAAACAAAAAATAACTCACACCGTTCAAAATCCCAAAACAATCCCCGTCATTGTTCCCAATTTTTTTCCCACTAATAACCTCCATAAGGCAGTGCTCCGCCTACTCAAGCCCCCCTTCGTCGATTCAGCCGCCGCTGCCGCTTTCCTCTCTGCATTCTCCGCCACCACTAAACCCCGAAGATATATTTTCCTAAAACATGCTTATCCAATTCGTACCATCCCGATTCCACCTCCACAAATTTAACTAAACAAAAATCCTAAATTCCACCGGAGTCACTCCGTCGAAGAGATTTTGCAAGAATGACTTTCTTCACTTGTACGAGATCAAATTCGTGGGGGAGCAACCGCTTGTATCGTATCACGGTGAAAATAGAACTTTCTGGCTGAAACTAGGATATTATTAGATTAGTAGTTGAAACTTTCTGGCTGGAATTTTGCAAAACTATGGAATTTGAGTAACAACGATGATGCTAGAGAAATGAAAAAATTGGAATCTTCAAAAAAAGCATGTGCAAAATACTTCATTTGATCACAGTTTCTAGAACCGTGGAAATCATTTCTCCCATATGATCAACTCCTTGTGCTACATGTAGAAAAACAAAAAAAAAAGTGTTCCATATGTTCCAAATAGTTGGAGGATACGTCGATTGGCTTTAGTTAGCATTGTCAAACGATTTCTTCATTGTATACTAAGCAGTTCTCAGAGCTTAAACGCATGTCTTTTTAAATTTCAGATGCAGCAAAAAATTTGTGATACATATCACAGTTTCAGATGCATGTCTGTCTGACAGATGCAGCATTCTGTTTCGAGTGTTGTTTGTTGGATGGAGTTGATTTGTAATAGGAGAGCTGCGGCAACTAAATTATAAATTCTCTGATAATGCAATGATTTTTTTCGCACTTTTGAATACAGAATCCGCTAGAGTGTAACTTCCTGTTGTTTCCACTAGCCTGAGATCGAGTTTTTGAGCCTTAAAGGAATCAGAATGGCATGTACATGATTGACGACTTTTTGTAATTTTCTCAATGTCATCCTTTAGAAATGACTTTTAAGTACAATCCCCAAGTTTAGACCTGTCCAAAATAAATGATAAGGCTCTTGCAGCTATGAAGATGAAAAACGAACTTCAAACAAAAAACCATGCGTGGAAATGTTGACAGGGCCGAGAATTTTGACGCGGTGAAATCTGAACTAAGGCTTAGCGAGGGGAAAACCGTGACTGATATTTCATCTTTTCGTTTTGTGTTTGTGTGTGTGTGTGTGTGTATGTTTCTTTTTTCCCTTTTTTTTCCCTTCATCTACACTATTTCCCCATGCATTCGTTTGATGCTTTTCTTCTTCTTTTTTTTTCCTTTTTTCGTTTACAACATTTTGGCAAATGCTTCCTATCACATGCGGACTATCAAATTTGCAAGGAACAACCATAATACTATAATGTCAAGCTTCTAATTTGAACATGTGTCAAGAAAAAGAAAATTGCAATTTTTTCCCTAATTGACTATTCACTTACGCCGGTGGACGGAAACAAATATGGTCATTCTAAATCTCTAAAGAACTAAGTTG